ATTTGGGACCGTACATGAGAAAACTGATCACTGAGTCCCTTGAGAAAACGAATGGAATAATCTCTTTCCTTACTGTTCTTAACCTCCACTGCAATAGAACAACATGGATGAATACACTTGCAGGTGGGAGTTGGCTGCAGTGCTACCAATTCATCCCAAAATTTTTTGAGTTTAGTAAAATAATCGGAGATGGAACTATCTCCTTGATGTAGACGATAGATATGATCCTGTAAATCTGAAATTCTGAAAATATCAGATTGAGAAAACCTCTCCTTGAGGTCTATCCACACATCATATGCTTTATCCATCCACAAAATGGATTGAGATATAGAACTTGTAATCGAACGATGCAGCCACGAAAGGACCATAGTATTGCATCTTTCCCAAACTGGAAAACGTGGATCTGTAGTGTCCGGTGGTAAAATTGTACCATTTACAAATGATACCTTGTTCTTTGAAATCAAAGCCATAGTCATTGCCCTGGCCCAGCCATGGTAGTTCTTCCCGTTCATCAGATTAGACACAAGAACAAGCGATGGATTTTCACTTGGATGGAGGAAATAAGGACTACCTGGATCTAGCAAATCAAGAAGACTAGTGTTCACAGGATTACCTTCCCTATGTGAAGGAGTCCTTTCTGCTTCTTTCTCCATTGTAGATGCAGAACTCTGATTCACCTTCTTGTTTTCAAAAGAAAAATTAACAGATCTATCAGCATCAGAATTAAAACGATTTGCATGTGCAGAAAAATGCAAAAATCAAATAGATCTAACAGCAACAAGATCAAATCGATATGCATGCAGGAGTAGATGTATTAGGAATCGAAGGTGCATATCAGAGCTCTGCGTAGTGCTCTGATACCATCATACAATAGAGAACGAAGAGAAGAAGTGCTAAGCGGAATTTCATACTTGAGATATTCGAAAATAGAATGAATACTGAAAAATACTCAAGTGTTCTATTGAGAAGAAACATATCAGTATATATACAAACACTGGTATGTAAAACAGAAAATGAAGAGTCTAACTAACTTCATGACACGTAAGAAATGTAACTAACTGAACCTCACTAATTACATGACACATTGTATTAATATTGACACGTCATAAATAGCAAACTAACTAAGTCTCAACAGAGACTGTGCTGGTATGAGACGATACAGTTGGGAATAACTTATAAGAATTAATTGGTACTTCCTATACTAACAAGATGCATCTACTTTTTGGTAGCCCAGAACGGAAGAACTCTATAGTTAAGCGTACTTGACTTGGGGCAATTCTGGAATGAGTGACTTTCTGAGAAATTTTTCCGGGAAGTGTGCGAATGAGGACAAAGCACACTGAAAAGTCTCGTATTAATGTGTGGGGACAGTCGTTGATCCTTGCAAGTTGCCAGACATTATATTACTGGTAATCTCAAAATACCACATTCGAAATGGTATTCTTAAATAGTCTTTTTAATCAAAATTTTCAAACAAATGACAAATCTTGAACAAATCATTTTACTGGATGAATTTTTTTGAAACATGTACCAAATATGGACAACTTAAAATATCATTCTCACTTATTTGGGTATCTCCACAAAAAAAGCTTTTACCAAAAGCCCCGATGCATATTTTTTAGAATCTTTTAAATCTCTCAAATCACAAAAAAATGTAAAATAAGTAAAATAAATCTTAATCAGTGTAAATCACTAAATCAGCCAGTTTTCCTTCGTACACCAGATTATTGTTTATCGTCCTGGCTAGTTACAGTTCAAGATCTTTGTACGGGGTCCACAAAAATTTGTACAATTAGGACCAATTGGACTCGTTGTTTTGGTGCACAGGGGACAGGGACCCCTCTTATCAGGGTTTGACCAAGATGGAGCTTATAGTGGATGGGGGTGCACATGCTGTAACAGCAGAAGCAGGAATAGTAACCCAATTGCGTAAGGGTGGCTGTACGCCTGTACCCCCACAGACACCAAGGGACCAACCAAGTTTCAAGTTCAAACATGTCTATTTTTTATTTTTTTTTGAAAGATACAATCAAACATGTCTATTTGACCTCATTCTACTACTATTATTATTATTTTTTATTGTTTAACGAACAATAGAAGGAGAGGCCAGATAGCTCTGTCTGGGGTATCCACGTGATCCAATCAGCGGTTTAGAACTTCTAGGTCATCTAACAACTGTACCAGCTCCCACATCTCACCAAGAGAAATTCCTAGGGCGAAGTTATATTTCTTACTCTAGATCTATGAATGCAAGAAATGCAAGATACGTGATGATAGATTTGATTTGATATCATTTCTAAGATTATTTTGCATTGATATTATTTAAGAAGAAAAAACTATAAATATAGTAAGAGTTATTGTGTTGTGGATATAAATTTTTTTTATTGTAACATATCTCTCTCTTTCTCTCACATACATACACATATATACATATAAGGAATAACATCTATCATTTTAAAGGATATAAACTTATATTCTTTTAGATCCTAACCGTTGATTTCCGTCCATCAACAGTTATAATTTATTGGATTAAAATTATTAATTAATTAATAATAAATTTGGCCCATTAAGTTTGGCCCAATAGATTATAACCGTTGATGGACGGAAATCAACGGTTAGAATCTAAAAGGATATAAACTTATATCATTTAAAAAGATAGATGTTTTTCCCATATATATATATATATTATTTATATTATACATCTCTAACAAAATATATATAGTGTTGAAAGATAAATATAATGATATAATTACAGTAATATAACTTTTTAGATATAAGATGTTATATGTATATTATTGCTCTTACTTTTACATGTTTGTTTTGTATTTAATGTTTGAGATTAATATTTTCTATATTATAAGAAATAATTTTATCTCTTATATATATATATGTGTGTGTGAAACCCTGTAGGATCATATAAAGAGGGAAAAAAAGAGAAATATGAGCTATATATATTTTTATATATGTGTAAAAAATAAAATTATTCCTTATAATATAAAAGAAAAAAGTGTTAATCTTTTTAATTGACACAACTTATATCATTTCACTCTCACAAAGAGGTGAGACCCACACATTTATTTTTTTTTATCAACTTTCTCTCTTTCTTTATCTATCTCTTTCTCTTTCTTAAAATGACACAACTCTATATCTTTTAAAATGACACACATTTTTTCCAATATAAAAACAATAATCATTTATGTTTCAGCATAAAAAGTTTCATTTTCGCTTAAAGTAAACAAGGTTTTGTACAGTTAACTTCGCACGGGACAAAGTACTTTACAAATTCATGAGAAACCAAAACAAGATTCAAAGAAAGAAGCCAAATTGAGAGACTGAGGATATGCATGGTGCTTTTCATCTTATCACCAATTGGCTAAAACCAAATGAAATGAATCTGCACGATGCCATTGGTTTAACTTTTAACTTTACACGCAAGCTCGAAGTGGAGTGGTGAACAATAAGAATCTCCCTTTAGATTTTAAATACTATAATCGACCCTTTTATTTATTAATATTATAGAAAAAATATTTGTTTATGTTATTGAAGAAAATATTCTCCCTCCTATATAAATAAAAAAATGGATTCCTTTAACATTTTTTTACAAACAGTAGACCCCATATATTGTGTCTCTATGACAGATAAATTATTCCCTTTAACATGATATTAATAACCAACAATATTATATCACAAAAACTTGTTAAGCTTTCAGATGTTATTACTTAGTTTGAATAATGATAAATTTTTACCAATATTTAATAATTCCCCTAAAAAATTATATAATGTTGTTAAACTTTACTATTTGTCAAACTTAATATCAAATAAAGTAAGTAGTCACTTTATTTATACTAAAAAGATACCGCACTTAGAGTGTTTGAATGTAATAATAAGAAAACCATAAAAAGATATTGATATATGACTATATCTTAATTCAAGTTGTTGCAATTTCTGCTACGTTGATTGCCCAAAACGCATTGAAGTGGAGAATTACATGTAAAAGTGGCACATAATTCACTTACATAAGAAGTCACAAAGAAGGGATCCCTTTGTCCTTTTAGAAAGTTTACAGAACCCACACACACTCACCGATCACCAATCTATTGCAATGGATTTGGAAGTTGGCTGTCCTGTTCATTCCGTAGTCGACATTCACACTCAGCCACACTACTTTTCATCACTTGTTACTGGACACAACAGGACCCATCTCCTGCATACTGATAAAATCTCTTTGAGATACTTGACCCACCACCCAAACCTCTTCATTCTGACAAAAACAATATTTTAACTTTCAGCTTTTTAGTTGGCCAATGATTAAATAAACTAGTAGCAAACCAATTAAAGAACAATCAATAAGTTGCATATTGGTACTTTTCTAACAGTGTAATGTGTAAACACAATCCAGGGTTAAAACTGAATAAATTACAAAAGGGTATATTAAGGTGCATAAGGATTCTCGAATTGTAAGAATAAGAGTGATGGTCAATTGAAAACAACTTTAAGTAATTATATATAACTTTATCCTTATATTCTTGTAAAGATGCTATTATTTCGTTTTAATTAATTGTTTTAAGTTTGAGTCATTCCTGTGTTAAAAACATGATAAAAGAGAGTTTTGTTGCCTGACTCGAATCAAATTAGTGGGATAATTCATAAATGGATGAAGAAATCCAAGAAAAAAAAATTTATTCATGGTTAAAGTTTTTCTTCTTCGAACAGAGATATTAATATCAGATTACGGACAAAAAAGAGTGGCACGGGTAAGACTTAAAAGGACAATTACAGTAAAAAGAAAGATGACAGTAACTAAAGTAGTTAGTTCGGTACATTCAGGTTGTTACGGTTAGAATGTGAAGTGTAAAACATGCGACACCCACGTTGTTTCATCGTCATAAGCATCATCACACTCGCTTCTTACTTCATCGGCAAACAGTATCAGAAGCAACTTGTGATTGTTGCGTCCATGACACTACAGGAACAGTTCTGTCTCAAACCTCAACTGAATCATGCGAAGTTTGTGTAGACTTTCTCACTCTTCCATTTTTCTTCTTCTGTTTTTCTTCTGTTATCATGGCACACATGGGTTTGGCACCATGGGACCAATCTCTGCTTCGTTCGGAGAAGACGAGTTGTTCTGTGCAATCGACGCGAGTGGGAAGCAAGATGTGATTTGTTGGGGAAAGAACACAACCTCGCCACCACTTTCATCACAATATTCTTCTTCTTCTTCCTACTTCAGCAACATCCCTGCCATGTCAGCAATTTCCGGCGGCGAAGGGTTTCTCTGTGGCATTTTAGCGAACACCTCCCAAGCATACTGTTGGGGCGCAACCGCGAGGCCCACCGTAGATCTCGTTCTCGTTCCTCCGGCGTACCGGAACATCGCTTACTCCCACATCGCCGCCGGCAAGAACCACGTCTGCGCCGTCAGAGGATCCTACTTCGCCGATCGCGATTCCGGAACCGTGGATTGCTGGGAAATCTCGAGAACCGCGAATGACACGTTGTTGGCCAAGCTGAACGACTCGTTCAACGACCAATCCGCCGGAAATCTAGAGCTGAACCAGATCGTCGCCGGCGAGGGGTTCACCTGCGGCGAGGTCAGAGACGGAGGAGGGCTAGTTTGTTGGGGACCCACTTCGGCGAGCTTGGGCGTTTGGAACGTGTCGGAGAGTTTCACGGTTTTTGCGTCGGGGAGAGGCTCCGTTTGCGGCGTTTCCAACGTTTCCGGCGATTTGAAGTGTTGGGGCGATTCGGGTTCGTATTCGGATCCACCACCCGTTGAGGTTCGGTTGGTGTCTCTCTCTGCTGGGGCTAACCATTTCTGTGGTGTTAGAAAGGATAATCACTTGGTGGAGTGTTGGGGCAGTTTCAATTCCTCTGTGGTTCCTAAAGGTTATGGCTTTATGGCTATTGCTTCTTCGGATTACACCACTTGTGGTATTAGGGAAGATGATCTTCTTTTGGATTGTTGGTTGGTGAATGCTTCAAAGCCTGATTTTGATCCTCCTATGGAGCTTTCTAGTCCTGGTCTTTGCAGGGCTAGTTCTTGTGGTGTTGAAGAATTTGCTTTCAATGTAAGTGTTCTCAATGAGCCAGATTTGACAAGCCTGTGTGTTAGACAGGATTTGAGGATTTGTTCACCTTGTGGGTCAAATTGTTCTCAAGGTTTCTTCTTGTCTAGCCCTTGTACTCGAAACGAGGATAGAGTTTGCACTGCTTGTTCTCTTTGCCAAAACAGTTCTTGCTGGGGTGTTTGTGGTCTTCATTCTTCTGTAGAGATGCATTGGCATCATTTCCGTAGATGGATGATCATAATTGGTTCCTCTGTGTTGGGTTTCTTGCTGATTTTGACTTGTGGGTGTCTTTTGCCACGTTTGACTGCTTGTGGAAAAGCACAAAGGCAGGGGACAAAGAAGCAATCCAAGTCTTGCATTGGTAAACCTGAGCAAGAGGATGATATGAATGTTGGTCTTCACTCTTCTCCTTCTGTTGCTTCATGTCCTGGGCTGCCTCAGGTTTTCAGGCTTTCGGAGTTGAAAGATGCTACAAATGGGTTCAAGGAGTTTAATGAACTTGGTAGGGGAAGTTATGGGTTTGTTTACAAAGCTGCATTGGCAGATGGGAGAGTGGTTGCTGTGAAGAGAGCAAATGCTGCCACAATAATACACACAAATAACCGTGACTTTGAAATGGAGCTTGATGTCCTCTGCAAAATCCGTCATTATAATATTGTAAACTTGTTGGGTTATTGTGCTGAGATGGGGGAGAGGCTGCTTGTTTATGAGTATATGCCTCATGGGACACTTTATGATCACCTCCATGGTGGTCTTTCTCCCCTTAATTGGAGCCTCAGGCTGAAGATAGCTATGCAGGCTGCAAAGGGCATTGAGTACCTTCACAAGGAACTATTGCCTCCAATTGTTCATAAGGATCTCAAAAGTTCAAACATTCTTTTGGATTCAGAGTGGGGGGCTAGAATTTCAGACTTTGGACTTCTTACTTCAAGTGACAAAGATCTTATCGGGGACTTGGAAAGTGATGTTTACAACTTTGGGATTGTATTACTAGAGATTCTAAGTGGAAGGAAGGCTTATGACAGAGATTTTACACTCCCAAACGTTGTTGAGTGGGCAGTGCCTTTGATCAAACAAGGGAAAGCAGCTGCCATAATTGATAGGTCTGTGGCTCTTCCAAGAAATGTTGAGCCTTTGCTTAAGCTTGCTGATATAGCAGAGCTTTCTGTCAGAGAGAATCCAAAGGAGCGTCCACCTATGTCAGAAATAGCATCTTGGTTGGAGCAAATTGTGAAGGACGGGTTGATCTTATAGCACTGGTGATTGTCCTGTGAGAAACTTGTTTTGATCCATCCATAATATCCTTTACATAAAATTCTGTGAGTAATGCTCCTCTGGCATTGTAAATTGTTTTAAATTTGTTGTAGATTGCTTATCCTTTTATATTTCTTTGGGTTTTATTTTTCCTAATCTTCACAAAGTGAAGGACATGGCATTGTTGCACCATACAAAATTGTTTACCTGTACATGCTGATCTGAAATTTTTTTCCTCTCGTATAAGTCTGAAGACCATCTCAAGGATACAGATACAGTCATTTACATGTATAACAGTGACAAAATGATGGTCAAGACATGAATTCCTTTGGTTAGGCATTAGCGATTCAATAAATCTGCAACCTTGTTCTTGCTTAAAACCACTAGCCTGGTCATGTAACAATTGAGGATTGTAATTGCCTTACACTTCCGGCAGTACCAAGTTTATTATTTACCTTGTTGAATTTATTGTGCTTGGTCAAACAATCAATAAACTCACATCAGCTAAGAAATGCTAATATTGCGCATTTCATTAGACAAAAAATGAGATGTAGTGGCGGTGACAGTGGCAACATTAGCAATGACGATAAGGAATACTTTAGTTACTTTTAGAAAATAAATATGCTACAGTGGTAATAAAACTTTTGATTCTAAAAAAATAGATGACAATTTCTCTTGATTTGGACGAATAGTATTATCTCATATGTTATCTCAATGATATTTTTTATAACCGCTTTATTTGTACAATAAACATTTTGACAATGGTTATCACTTTCTCACTGAGTTCAAAACGTCTTCAAAATTCATGCCGTAAATTAAGCCCAAATTATCCCGGATTGAAAGTGATATTGAGTATGCCCGAAAAGACAAAGACTGATTGTCTGTAAATTCTCTAATCTAAAACCATATTTATTTTTGAAGTTTGATTTTTAGTTTGATTAAATTGGGAAAGTATAATTACCAAAAATTTTGTTTTTTTTTTTGGGGGAAAGTATATATTAGAGTTTAAAAATATTCAAGTTTGAATTTTAGATTAGCTCAAAGATAGATCCTAAGAGTGGCAAAAATAATATTGGGAGAATAATTCTTATATAGATTCGACCATGTTTGAACCAAATTTGTCAATTAATTTATGAATCATTTAAAATATTTAAAAAAAGATAATGATATTTTTAAGTTCAACAAATAATTCCTAAAATTTATTAGGGGGAGAAGTTAGCATTTTAACCTTTATATACGTACAGTATTGATTTTTCAATTTAAGAGAAAAGTCATCAAAATATAATTAATACCGAGTTAAAATATTAACAATAAAATTGTAAAATAAAACAATCGACTAAATAAAATTATGCAGACTTTTCATGTCATAAAAATTCATATAACACATCAAAATAAATTAAAATAATCCTGTTGTATTCTATTTACATAGCATAAGTTTAAGTATAATATTTTATATATAAAATTAGAGTTTTATAAGAGTTATGATGTAGGAAAAATGATTGTGTAATGTTATAGAGATTCGTTTTGCGTGCCGTAATTTTTTTTTGTGTGCTTCAAAAAATGTAGATCCCAAAAAATGTTGTGTGTGTAGAAAACGTTTTTGTGTTATTTAACTTATATTAAGAGTGCACAGAAAACGCTGTCACAAAATCAAGTCATCAAGCCAATGAAGGTTGACTCAATATTGATCTGATCGAATGGCAACGACAAAAAAAGGTGTTAGATTCAAATCACGGTTGTCGTCCTTTACGGGTAGAATGTGTATGTTCTGGATGATATATCCAGCTTTGGGCCCCATTAAGTATTGGGTTCAATAAATAAGGGGAAAATTCTAACAGTTTTTCGGGGACTCTTGACAATCACCATATAAAAGAGGGTCTTCAAGGGGAGAAACACACAATCAAGTAAATATTCTATCTTGCACATTATACCTATGGTTAATATTGACAAAAGTGTCAAAGTGTTTGCACACCCTTTTTTTTGCCAGCAAAGGACACAGAGGAGCGCGTTGTCGTCACCACTAGAACTACTCTATAAACACTCAAGCACAACAACACTCTATGATCATGTAGACAGTTTATTCAATCTATATGAATGACATTATAAGCCATCAGTCGTTACGGTTTATGACATACCATACCTATAAGTATAACCTTATGATAGATATATATCTCATAAACTTATTAAATTTTGATTGTAATTTGTACTATTATACTCCAGAGAAATAGAAATATATTGGATTAGTTTATTTTATTTAAAGAAGCATTTTTATTTAAGTGTCGTATTTGAACTATTTTTATTATTAGCTTTCATGAAAGCAGATATATGTTAATTCAATTATGCATTAGATATCTGTCCATTAGATTAGTAAAACTCATTATTAATAATATCAAGCTTAAAATAAACCATGTACCACATGGATAAAGAAAAGTCGAGTTTAAGGATAACTAAGTTTATGAAAAATATACATATATGGTAAGTTCAGGTCTTACATGATTTAAGAGGGAATAGTTTTCATAGCTGTCAACTCTAGAAACGTGTTAGTTGAACGAAGTTGCAGTATGAAAAAATCAAACATTTCTAGACTTAGTGAAGTCCATGTTCAGTTATTCATCCTTACCAATGTTATTCTGGGGAGTTGCCTAGGAGAAGGCAATGGCGGACCCAGGTGGATGTCATTGTCTGCACTTGCAGACATGAAGTTGAGGGAAAAGTCATGCCATCTCCCAACTATGAAAAAGTCATGTTCATTTACTATATCATGTAGAATATTAGATGTATCTGGTCCATCATTTACTGTCACTCTTCTATAACTCACACTTTCCAAGCCATACTCTGGTTTCTTAATACCTTCTAACATCTCATTATCCCTTATGCACTCCAAGTCTATATTGTATTCTTTAGGAGCAAGGTGGTACACAACCAACTTGATCCTGGGGTCCCTCATTGCTCGTTTGGCTAAGCACAAAGCCTCTCTGTCATCTCTTCCACCCAAGAATGTCATGGCTAACCAAATGTATGAGTAACTTTCCTAACTATGAATATCATGGCTAACCGAATGTATGAGTAACTTTTTCATAGCTAAGGGTGCAGACATAAAGAAAATTTCCTAGGTCCGCCACTGGGAGAAGGCATTGTACCTTCTTAACTTCATTCCATCTAAGTCTGTTATAGATACACCTATGGGGCGTTTGGTTCGGGTTTTTTATTGGGATCCCCATCCTTCTGACTTTGGCAATCTATGTTCTCTTTGTTTGGTAGAAGAGTTACTATGGAAGACGTTTGCCCAGCTTTCGTTGTTCCTATGCAAAAAACGAATGAAAACACTGTTTAGCTTTGCCACTTGCAATATGGTATTCCTGAAAACCGGCTAAATGGATTCAAGTTGACATAAAATGTGACAAAATTACCCTCCCACTTACTACATCTGCTTTACCAAAATTGAGCGGGTTACAGAGGACATGGCCAAAAGCGACAGGAAGCACATAGACAAATTGTATACTGACTTTCATCTTCCATAACCACTATTTCCAATGTCGTTGCTCCTATGATTTAGTATGACAAAGTTAATTAAATGGCCAAATTGATGTGTGGTTATTCTTCAAGATATCCTGTATGGCTCAGTGTTATACCCTGGCTTGAGTGGATGCTATCCCATACACTTTTACGATCTGTTGAGAGCCCTCAACAGGGTCTTGATAATTTCTAGGTTGAACAAGGTGGAACACTTTTGCTGAGTCTAATGCAGAGTTCTCAAGAGGATGTTCAGGAGAGGGCAGCCACAGGTCTTGCAACTTTTGTTGTAATTGATGATGAAAATGCTAGCATAGATTGAGGAAGGGCTGAAGCAGTCATGCGAGATGGTGGCATACACTTCCTTCTTGGCCTGGCAAAATCTTGGAGGGAAGGACTTTTGTCTAAGGCAGCTAAGGTAGTTGGTAATACCTGTATAATCTATATCAGTTATCAAATTCTTTGAAAGTGTTCATTAGGTTGATAATACCTGCCAATTGAAGATTGGAACTTGTGGTAGTTGTTTTAATATGCTATTATAATATGTTCACAATTGATAATTTTTAATTCCTTTTATAAGGGTTATTTTCATCTTTTCAACCCATTATCCTATCATTATTTTACGTTCAACCAAACAAAGACTCACAAAATTTAACCCAATTTACCTGGTAAAATTTTATCCAACCAAACAACTTTTTTTAAACTTTCCTACCAAACTCACTTCTCTATCATATTCCTAATAATTGTATTTACCTGGTAAAAAAATCTCCTGAACCAAATGCCACCTTAAAGAATTATGGAAAGGGTGCAAACCTATTTCAAACCATATTCGAATTTAGGGTGCTCCAACACACGTCCTACAACAATGGTCAAATAAGATAAAATATTGTACAGAAGTGTGCATGTCTTTTGGCTACTCTAAGAGAACCGAGGATTGGAACTTATTTAGTCCAAAGGATAAGATGATCTTAGTGAACACTCATGTGACTTTCTTAAAGGAGGAGTATATGGAAACTTATAAGCCCATGAGTAAGGTTATTCTTGATGAGACTTGTCTCAGATTAAGAATTTCCAAAATCTATAGAAGCTCCATCCTTTGTTCCCTTGATTGTTCAAAGAGGAGAAATATATACCTCTAGGTGAACAAACACGGGAACCATAATTGAAATTCCAACATGATAATATACAAATGGAACTAGTAAAAATATTAGTATCACATGTGAAAGAACAATATCAAGGATTTGTTAAACACGTAACATGCGGAGTATCAAGAAATTAAAGATCCATCACCTGACCCAGAACTTGGATCTACCTGTAGATACACAAGGTCTAGTGTGGTACATTCATAGTAGGAGAGAACTTTGTTAATCTTTAAGTTATCTCTTGTTGAGTGACATTGATTCCACTAGTTACGATAATGCACTAAAAAATGTTGTTGATCAAGTGTTGCTCAAGCTATTAAACATCAGGTGGAATATTTGTATTTCAACTCTATTTGATCCATAATATAGGCACCAAGAGGGGTAATACCTACTAGGTGCATGTGGACCTAAGAGAGGATAGACAGGAAGGTGAAAATCTTCAAAACTAGTTTGGTGGCAAATGTTTGCCAGACGCCACGCTTGAATCTATCAAGATTCTTTTAGTTGCTTCTATAAATCTCAATTATGAGATTTTATTGAGTTTTAGGAGTTGGATGTCAGGATATCTACATGCAACAATAAAAAAAAGGTTTATAGCTAATGGGAAGGAACACTCAGTATGCAAGTTATAAAAATCCATCTATGGACTTAAGCAAGCATCCAGGTCATGGAACATCAAGTTTGTATTTGTATTTGTATGTAAAGGATCCAATAAGAGGTAATAGCTTTTCTGGTACTTTATGTAGATGATATGCTCCTTATTGGAAACAACGTGGAGGTAATATCAAGAATAAAAAGTTGGCTGAGTAAGCGTTTTGATATGAAAGTCCTAAGGAAGCCAATTATATTTTTGGTATAAAACTCTTATGAGACCGAAAGAATAAGTTATTGGCATCACCTTAGGCTACTTACATTGACAAAACTCTTGCCAAAATTCAACATAGGGAATTCTAAGAATAAGTTATTGGCATCACCTTAGTGGCATGACTGTATTCAGCTGTCGTTTATCTTATCAACTGCACTCTATCTCCCCTCCTCTCTCACAAAACACCTTTTAAGTTGTTGTCCCACAAAGTCTCATCCTGCTCACACCTCAGAGTCTTTGGTTGTCTTTTCTACCCCTCCACCCTACTTCGTGGTCATCACAAATTCTCTCCTCGGGATCTTCTGGCAGTGTTTCTTGGTTATCCTACTAGTTAAAAAGGTTACAAGTTACTTGACCTCTCTACTAATCATATAATTATGCTCAGGGATGTCGTTTGCCATGAATCTATTTTTCTTTTTGCTTCTGGTTCCCCATTACACACCTCACTTCCTCCTTTTCCCTCTACACCTACCACTGAAGCTTCTGCACCTCCTTCTTCCCATCACTCTCGCTCAGAGAACTCCCTCCTCATCTCTTGTATTATGTTTGTTCATCAACTTCCTACCACATCTCTAATTTTCTCTCTTACATAAATCTTTCCCCTTCTCATCATGCTTTTGTTAATGCCCTCTCTTCCCATTTTGAGCTCTCTACCTTCTCTGAAGCATCCCAACTTCTCGAATGGTGTGCAACCATGGATGCTGAGATTTATGCTTTGGAGCAAAACAACACTCCGAGGATCGTCTCTCTACCACTTGTAAATGGTCTATTGGCTGCAAATGGGTGAACAGGGTCAAATATAAATCTGAAGGCAGCCTCAAAAGATACAAAGCCCGTTTGTTTGCCAAAGGTTTTTCTCAGCAGAAGGGTGTTGATTTTTTGGAGAACTTTTCTCCTATGGCAAAAATCACTATTTTCTGTGTTCTTCTTTCCCTTGCTGCCATTCACAATTAGCATTTAATTCAACTTGATGTTAGTAACACTTTTTTGTGTGGTGATCTTGTAGAAGATGTGTACATGTCTTTACCTCCGGGTTGCTCTGTACAGGGGGAGTCTACTCCTCTCAATGTTGTTTGTCATCTTCAAAAATCTCTCTATGGACTCAAGCAAGCTTCTAGCCAATGGTTTGCTAAATTTTCCAGCACCTTACTCTCAATTGGTTTTACTCAATCATCCTCTGATCATTCATTGTTTACTCAATTTACTGCTACTTACTTCATTGTTGTTTTAGTTTACGTTGACGATATAATTCTTGCCTCTAATGACACTGTTGCGCTGTATCATCTTACTTCCTCATTGAACAAGAAATTTCGGTTAAAAATCAGGGTGCTCTCAAGTATTTTTTGGGCCTTAAGGTGGCCAGATCCCATCGCGGAATTTATTTGAGCCAACGTTAGTTTGCCTTAAACATTTTACAAGATTCTGGTTCTCTTGGTTGCAAGCCTCAAGCCACCCTAATGGAAGCCAATTTTGAAACTGTCTTCTGACTCCAGAGATCTTCTTCTTGATCCCACCCCTTACGGACGCCTCAATGGCAGACTTCTTTATTTAACTATCACCCGGCCTGACCTTTCTTTTGCTATTAACAGGCTTAGTCAATTCGTGGCTTCTCCTTTGATTCCATGTGCTACGCATCCTTGCATACTTAAAATGCACCATTGTTCAAGGTCTTTTGTTCTCTGCTACTTTCACTGTTCAACTCAATTCTTTCTCTAACTCTAATTGGGCCACATGCTCTGACAGCGGAAGATCTGTTACTGGCTATTGCATCTTTCTTGGTGAGGCTGAATACCGATCTATGGTTAATGTCACTTGCACGATTCTTTGGTTATTTTCCTTACTCAAGGATCTGCATATTGCCCATCTTTCCCCTGCTCATTTATTATGTGATAATCAGGCTGCTCTGGACATTGCGGCTAATTTGGCGTTTCATGAACATACGAAGCACATTGAAATTGATTGCCATATTGTCCGCGAACAAGTCCCCAAAGGTAAACTTCAGACCTTTGTTGTTCCTTCTGCACAACAACTTACTGATATCCTCACCAAAGCACTTCCTCCTGATCGTTTCTTTTCACTTCTCTCCATGATGAGAGTTCTCAATATACACTCTCTATCTTGGGGGGAGTTTTAAAGTATATTTTTATTCACATTTTATTATTTCTTCTTTTATTTGTTTTACCACCTCATCAATAGTTGTAACTGTCTAGCATTATTCACGAGTCTAATGTGTGGATTCTTTTATAGGATACTAATATATTTTGGTCATTGCATATTTGTAAGAGTTTAGTTTTTCATGATACAGAAAATGCTTCTTCTTCCCAATTTTCTTTGGGCTATGATATCCAATAAAAGCCCATCAATGTTTTTTATATTATACCTCTCTAGAATGTTCTAAATGAAATCGCCAATGTTAGGAGCTTGGCTCCAAGATCATAAAAAAGGGTAAAGAACTGAAAGAAGGAACTTTTTATTACTTTTGTT